TTGACCAACCGTTTCAGGCAGGCCTGGGCAACTGGTTGAACTGGCCCTTCGTAAAGGAGCTCCCCGCCCCACAAGGAATTCAAACTCATGCAAATACAACACAACCATGAAAGCTCCAGAGCATCAAGGTCAGGGAAGATATCCACCAATAGGGTGCTAGAGGTAGGCAAGGGAAAAAGAGCATTCTTCTCCCGCTTGCCCGTGGGCTGGCTGCGAAGCGGCATAACCTCTAACAACCACTGTTGGACCCGAGGTCCCACCTCCAACACTCTGGCACCAATAAGGTCTTCTGATCTTTTTTCTTTCGATCTGCACTCACGCTCAAGTTCAGCCTGGGCGCAGTGGCCTGGCTGGGGGAAAAGATGGCCCTGGTTTTGAAAAGCCACCGGGTCACCCAAAGAGGCATCTACCAAGCCTCCCGGAAAAATCTTCGCCGAGCCAGCTAAATCTGAAAGCACTGCTGGCGCTACGGCGGCATAGGAGCCACTCCCGGCTTCCCGAACTGTATCCGACCTTGCTCCCTGCATCTCAGGAGCACAATTCATAGACACCTCACTTGATACTCCCGGGCTCCCCCGGGTTGTACTGTCTCCCTTCAACGCCGCTCTCCTCCTTTTCCTCTGTCTTTGCCCTTCTCGTCCTTCTTGTCGTCCTTGCCTGAGCTCTCCTTCGTCTTTCCTTTGCCTTTGGGGGCGCCGCCCTTGCCGGGGCCTGTGGCCTGCGTCTGCCAGCGGGCCCGTGAGTCCAGGTAGTTCTCCTTTTGCGCTGAGGCAAGCTCGCCCCGGGCTATAAGGGCTGTGGAGTCCGCTGAGGCCAGCTCCACTCGCTGGGCCACTGCCCAGTTTGTGCCGTTCAGCACTGCTTCCTGCGCCTTCATCCTCTGGCACAAGATGTCCAAGGCATGTGCCGGCTTGGACTTGAGCAGTGCGTCTACTGCTGTCGCTAAGTTCAGCAGCTCGCGCCCCTGCGCCCCCCCCGCCCTTCGGGCTAGGGTATTCCGGAAGTAGAGCAATGCCACCGGTCTGGTGGATTGTTCTTCCCCTTCCTCGCCCGCTGTCGTCAGCAGGCTGCGGCGCATGCTCATCAAGGTCTCCATTGCTAGAGCCCCTGGAAAGCGCTCTGCCACTGCCTTGGTCTTTGTCTCCTCCGTGAACACGCCCTCCACGATGTTGACGCCGTCGTCCGTCGTCACTGAGGAGCTGCTGCTCCCCGACGTGTCGCTCGACGAGCTCCTCTTGTACTTCTTTCGGGCTGCAAAGCGCTGGGCCTTGCGAAGTACTCGCTTCCGGACTCTCTCCTTCGGGTCCAGAGCTGTTCCTGCGAACAGTTGCGAGGCCTCCTTCTGCCCAGCCTTTGCCGGCTGCCGCCCGCTGTGCAACTTGTCCTCCTTCTCTCGTTCCTTCTTCTTTTTCTTTTTCTTCTTTTTCGACTCCTCGACATCTCCCTTCTCTGGGCTGGCACCCGCCTGGCACCCTTCGCCCACTTGCGGCTGAACTCCTCTCGCTTCCAAACCTGCCTTGCGCTTGCGAAGGATGGCTAGCTCGTCCTCTTCCGCCGCAGGCCCTGTCTCCAGGTTCGATGTCCAAGCTTCCTCGCCCACCGGCAGGCCCTTCCGACCCTTCATGCCATGCAGGAAGAGCGCCCCGACCTCCACACGGCCACAATCGGGGGGGCACAGATGGACTTTGAAAGCTTTCTCCATCGCCCCGGTGTAAGCCTTGAGAATCTCCTCGTTGTTGGTGCCGGTCAACTTCATCATCAGGAAGGTGGCCTCCGGCTCCAGCTCTACACGTTGCACTTTCCCGGCCACCTTCGCCGCGGCTCCAAAGTATTCTCCCTCGGTCACAACCAAGAACAACCCTGGCTTGACAAAGTCCAGAGGCAGACCTGACAGGGGCACCTCCTCCCCCGCTTCCCAGGCTTCCGCCACGTCTGAACACGCCGCTGGCCGATGAAGGCCCCGCCGAGGTCGCCGGGGAGCGGGAGCGCCTCCCCCATGCGCGCCCGGGCCTGCGGCTGGGCGCCTCATGACCGCCATCGCGCCCCCTCTGGCCACTGCCTTGGCTTTCGCCTTAGGTGCCATCCCTTCTGTGCTTTCTTGGCACGCCGCTCCTCAATCTTCTTTTCTCTGAATGCTTTGCTCCTCTCACGTTTCTTGGCTCCTCGTGTCCCTCTCTTTCTTGACCTGGACCGCTGTGGCTTCCTCCTAGCCAATGGCTGCCTCCCTTGGCTGTCCTCTTCGTCTTGACCGATGAGGGCGGCGCCCTTGCCGTCAGGAGCACTGCCCGCTGCTCCCGAACCCTCTCGCTGCTCCCTGCCTGCTGAGACGGGGCGCTTGCGACTGTCTTGGTCTCGGCCTTTCCTGTCTTTTCCTGAATGCGGCTTGGGCACCGGCTTCAGGAACAACCTGTTTGTCAAGTAGTGTGGATCGAAGTTCTTCAGCCTCTCTTTCCTCTGACTCTCTTGGTCTTTGGTGTCCTGTGGCTCCACTTTCTCTCCTCCTTCTATTTTGGGCGTCTCAGTGTTTTTCTCTACTTCTGGGTCGTCAGCCTCGTCTTTCTCCGACTCCTCTGCTTCAGTGACGTAGGAATACTCGCTGGGTTCTTTTACTGCAGCTGCAGTCTTCCGCTCCTCTTGAGCAGGTAGTGGCCCGGAGGAGAGGCCTGTATTTTCCTCCTTTCTTGGGGGTGAGGAGCGCTGGTCGCTCCCCTGGGTGAGCCTGGCCTCAACGAGGTCCGTGAGCTCGCCGGCAGCTCCACGCAGCACTTCTATCACTCGACGCTCCTCCTGGTCGGTGAAGTGCCCTGACCTGAGTAGCCCCACAATCCGGCTCACAGCCCGGCAAGCCCCGCACGTCGGATTCCCTTTGAAAGTCCGACACTCGGAGCACACCATCAGCTGAAAGCCAAACACTGAGGATATGGAAAAAAGGGGTTTTAGCATCACGACTCTTTATCCCCGTGGACGTGGAGACATATATAGAGTTTGAGATTTATTTTTACTTGATGATTTTCGATAACTTATATTTTTTTTACCCTGGCTTAATCACTAGCCTCTGGTGATGCTGTATGTTTTTCCCTTGGTTAGTTGAAGCCGAGCAGTCATTTCAAAAATAAATAAATAATGACATATCACAACGATATTTACGAGCATTCTGAGATCCCTTACATAGAGGTGATTAGATATTTACATCAGAATGCCCCACATCTCTTACATAGAAATTTTTGAAAATCCAGATATCTTACGTAGAGATACTTATTTACTTCAATAAATCCAGATCTCTTACGTAGAGGTTTTTTTACATAAAAAATTTCCAGATCTCTTACTGGAGGCCAGTGATTGAAATAATCTATAATTATATATATGTGTGTGTGCTAGGGTCAAGTTACATGGGATTGATGGTTTTATAGTCTACATATAGTGATTCTAGGGTCAAATTACATGGGATTGATGGTTGATAATTGTTCATCTTATGTTATGTGAATTTGAAGACAATGGCTATACCCAATATGGGTGAAGAATTTGATGATCAACTTGATCAACTTGACAAATTAATGTGTCTCAAACGGTGGGATTGACCGTAGTTATGGCAATTTCAACGGGGAACATATAATATATATATATATATGAATATAGAATAATATAGATATGACAATATTATTATATATTCACCACTGGATGGAATGAGGTACCAAATTTTAAGAGAAACCCAAATAATGCGGAACACGCTTACTGCATTGGATTTCGGACGTTTCCCTACAAGTTTCAGAACCAAATCACCCAGCTTGGGAAGGCCAAACCAAGTATTACACAGCAACAATGGGTTCTACAGGAAACCATGGATTTTAGCATTCAAATACTACCGGGGCTCCCTGCAACCAAACAATTTTCATATTATTTTTGAAAACAATGTTCACCGTACAACCAAATTAGAACGTGTTCGGGATATGACGATCCAAAGAAACTGGTATTCTTTGGCAAAAACATCAGCAATAGTCATCCCAACAGATGCGGATTTGGACTACAGCCTGAGCCTATGATGTCGATCCATGACAGCGTAACCAGCACAGGCATGACTCACAAAACATCACAAAACAATATCTGCACTGTGGAAAATGCCTCGGTGACAAATACCAAAGTTCAAGACAACCCAACAGCCAAAAAAATATGTGACTGGTTGGTGGTTTTTCCCTACCCATCTGAAAAATGATGGAGTTCGTCAGTTGGGATGATGACATTCCATTCCCAACTGTTTCTGGAAAGTCATAGTCATTCAAAATTCCATGGTTCCAGTCACCACCAACCAGGTGATGACTGTTTGCCTATAACGATTGGGTTTCTGGCCATGGCTTCCATGGCTTTCATGGCTTTCATGGCCAGGTTGGAGACAGACTGCGACAAACAGAAAACACGACTTTTGGTTGGTTACAGTTATGGCCATTTATCAGTTATAAGTACTTATAACCCCATTTATAGAGTGTATGATCCCATTTATAACCAGTTATAACATGTTATAACTGGTAAATGGCCATAACTGTAGTCTATTTCCCATTCACAACACGGAAAAGAAAACATCAGGAGATTGCACAAGTCTCTGTTGTCCAAATATTTTTTGGGGATCTGAAATTAGTCACTTGAAAAGACCCTGCCACGCCATACCTTGGGTTTGTCTAAAACTAGGCGACCAAACAAAATCCAAGGTTATCATAATGTTCCCCCCAACTACCATAGATCTGCCAAAGGGTTGGAAGATTACTTTCCTCCAACAACTAGTGATTAATTAGTCGGGGTCTAAGGTACTTTGGGAAAAGGTATTGATGCTGGCTTAATTATAATGAATTATGAAATGTCACCATCCTGAAAAAGCCTGAAATCATGGCATTATTGGGATATACGGACATTTCCCTACTAGCCATCATCTCGTGGATAATTCAGCCAGATTGATGCATATGTTGAGGCTTTCAGACACAAAAACGCCCCAGAAAACACTTAAAAACCGCCTTCACAGGATCGTCTTTGATGGGGCTGTTCCCCCACTTGGCATAGACCTGGAGCTTGGTGCAGCCACTCAGCCGGGATTTTCCAGATCTCATCCCGGGATTTACGCGCTGCACGGATGAGCCTAAATGAGTTCAGCTAGGTGGATACAGATTCCATGCAAGAATCCAAGCAACAGCATATTATTATAATAAATCTGGTTCAATCATTTACTATAATACTATTAATTATAATAAATCTGGTTCAACATCTTCAAGATTGACATAGGAATAGATCGACTAAATGGCTGGCTATCCTCGAGAAACACATCATCCATGCTGCACCAGTTGCATCGCTTGCCGAATGTCGAGGTTCCGACCCCAATGAGATGATCTGAAAAGGGACATCTAAGGGGGATCTTGATGCAATAATTTGTGGTAACTATAGACTATATACCATATACGTATGATATATGTATATATTAATATGTATATATACATATCATACAGTATTATACTAGAATCTATAAGTACCTGAAAACCCAACCCTTGAGCATGTACAAATAGCTATGTCTTCCATGACAAAATGGCTCCCGTTTCAATTAGGCACCCAGTCGTCTGGTGGGTTTGATATAAAGCCATTGTCGTGGGAATGTTGTGGGTAGCGCATCGAAGTTTGCAGTTCACTGTCTGGGATCAAAGGAAACCTGATTTATGATCAAATCGCAACATCCTTCAACACGTTATCTGGTTGGTGGTGCAATAACCATCTTGAAAAAATGATGAAGTTCGTCAATGGGAAGGATGACATCCCATATATGAGATGGAAAATAAAAGCCATGTTTGAAACCACCAACCAGTTATAAATTCCAAACCAGCTGATGCTTTCATGGCCAAACATCTCCACTTTGGTGGCTTCAATCACAATATATTTCCGATTGTTTCAACCCCTCTGAAAAATATGAGTTCGTCAGTTGGGATTATTATTCCCAATATATGGAAAGTCATAAATTCCATGGTTCCAGTCACCACCAACCGGATCTTGCTTGAATAAGCATTATCCTATCAACTCTGCGCTAATATCCATTTCCTACCAGCCCAGGGACAGCAGGGTCAGCTGCAATTCCCACCTGGCATCACTCCGTGACAATGTCCGAATTGACAGGAAACCAATAACATAAGGAAAATATAGAAAAATGATCTGGATGTTACTGAAAAATTAAGGACTGGGGATTGGATTTGAGATGATTGTACTATAAACTTATAGGATTGGGGTTGGACTGAATTTTACAAATTTCTATCTATTTGGGTGGTTGCTAGTACTAAATAATACTAAATTATGGGCACCTGAAACATACATAGGTTAATGAGCAACGGCTAAATCCTTATTTTGACTGAGGCTATCCAGGCCAATTTTATCTAATTGCTGTAATTTTGAAACCTGACCTAAAGCCACTTTGGCTTCCTCAAACTAATAACAATCATCTACATTGAGGTTGTGGTGACGTCGTGAAGTACAATTCTCCCCAGGCTCATCCATCAGTCTGAACAAAAACCTTGCCCAAATACGAGGTTTCAGCTGAGATACCTTGCGGACAGCTTTCTGTGAACAACTATACTGTATATTATAGTGAATCTCCCGATTTCTGGCAAACATCAACAAACATCAATAAACATCAATAAACATCAATAAACATCAACAAACATCAATAAACATCAATAAATATCAATAAACATCAATAAACATCAACAAACATCAATAAACATCAATAAATATCAATAAACATCAATAAACATCAACAAACATCAATAAACATCAACAAACATCAATAAACATCAATAAACCATCAAACTACCTTTCGCCAATTTCACCAAGGTCTTCCTTAACGCACTGTTCACATCCCCATCTGTCGAACCCCATCTGTCGAACCTGCGCGATGAAGTCAGGGATCACGCGGTGAAATCGCGCTTGGCTGTAGAAACCAGACCTCGCTTCGCATGTGGACGGAAAGCAAGCTCTGCTCTGGTGACATGGCAATTTGGCAATGAGCAAAAATCACATTGTACAGAAGATGAACATCAAGATAAACTCTATGGCAATTCACATGAACATGTAATAAAATCACATGAACATTCAAGAACAGAGTACACAAATGCATAATGCAAATAGCAGTTCTCACTGAAAATGGTCAACATCATCCAACTGAAATATGGTATAGACCTGTACAAGTATACAGCCAGTTGGGTGAAAAAATGGGGATGGAGAAAAAATCATCATCCTCTATTGTTGGGTGATGAACATCCATGTGCACCTGGATATTGCAGTGTCTTACTTTAAATATGCAACTAGATAATTAATATGTCAGATACCCTTATCCAATAATGGATTATCCCCTGGTAAACTAACATAACTATAGAAAATCACCAGTTTTAATGGGTAAATCAACTATAAATGGGCATTTTCCATAGCAAACTGTTAGTTTACCAAAGCGTAACCTTATCCAATAATGGATGATTACTCAATAACCACATGTTGATGGGAAAACAAAGCAAAACCAATGGAATTTTGGGGAGACGTCTTCGTAGGGGCTTCAGGTTCTGAGCGAATTGTGGCCTCACGAGTTTTACTTTTGCAAAAAGGACCATAAAACCATATCATACAGACATGATTGGGTGTTTTAGATGTTATGAACAAATATATACATATATATATGTGTATTATGGATCTCATGATATTTTCAACACCCTATCTTGTATGGATACTTCAAGATATGTATGGTGTTTTAGTTGTGTTTTCAAATCAGGAAAGTGACCAAATAATTATATACCGTACTTGGTTCCTTGTGAAGATCATTAATATAATGCATATTCAATCATATCTACTAATATTTGGTAAGGCAAGGTAAGCACGTGATGTGGCCAAAGGAGCCCCTCACCAACTGAAACAGAGCCAGTCACACCAGCACACTTCGGGATCAGGACCTTTCGGCCTTTGACTTTGCCCTTGTCCAAGCTCTCTATACACCCTTCTCATCGCCCAAGTCGCTCGCAATGCACGAGGAACCAAGACCTTTTCCAGCAAGCCCACCTCATCCATCAAAGCCCACACTTCTCCCACGGTGTCTCGGCATAATCTGCCTTTCCCTAAGCCACTTCCGAAACGTCGCGGTGTAGAATTTGCACTGGTGGTCTGGTGGCTTTACTGCATTGTCCTATGTTACCTTTCGATAGGTTTTAAAATTACAAGCTGACTGTGTTATAGATATTATGGGACGGCATGCATGAAGACACACATTGTAGTAACTTATCCGTTAAGTATCATTGAAAATTGATATCATTAACATTCACTAGTACCCAATATTGAGCATCATTAAGCATGTTTAACCACTATTTACCACCATTACAACACAAATCACCGTCAATTATCATTAACAATCACCACTATCAATCAACCATGTAAGGTTGCCTGTAACGCATGATCCACTATTAGCCATTATTTATTCATTATCATTAGTATATATATATATCTCCACTATGAACCAGTATTTACCAGGCTTCTGCTGTCGGTCCCTCCCCTCGGTCCATTGCCCAGTGGCTCGACCAGCTGCTTGAAACGCTCCACCCCGTGCGGCGACCACTCGGGATGCACCTCCAAAAGCACCGGCCTGGCGAGAAACCGCGGTACGAGAAACGTCGAGAAAGCGCGGAAAGGAATGGCCCTGGGCTCCCCGGATGGTTAAATGATGGTTAAATGATGGTTAAATGATGGTTAAATGATGGTTAAATGATGATTAAATGATGGTCAATCATGGTTAAATGATGGTTAAACATGGTTAATAATCAATAATGGTTATAATGATGAGTAATGATAGTTCAGACTGGTTAATAATGGTTAATAGTGGTCAATTACTTAATGATGGATAATCAAGGTAATAATAATAATATTTGAATAATGGTTGTTAATGATGGTTAGTAATGGTTCAATGATGGGTACTTAATGGTTCAGTGGTGGTAATAATAGATTGTATCAATGATGGTGAATAGTTGAAACAACTAAGTCAGAGGTTTTTAGTTGTGGAAGAACTTATGTTTCAGTTCATTCAATCAGAACTAATTAAATGGGTTCGTTCTAATATGTTGCTGATTAATGCACATTGGAAGTTACTACAATTAAACGTCTTATTGCGGATTATCACACAAAATGATTGCTAAAATGAGTCAGACATGGTTTTCAGGGCGATGATGCTGTATTTTCAGGTTTCAGCTGGGGTTATGTTATAATCCCAAATAGACTGATAAACCTAGAACACGGGGAAACAACCGTTAAGCATCTGCGACCGCAATACCCTTTTTACTGAGCCGCAACAGCTGTAAGATGCAACTATGATACAGCTATGTTTTACGTGGGGTGCAAATACACCCCCCTCAGGTGAGCCGGACACGGCAAGGCTGCCCATTTACCAGGGCGAGGCTTTTGAAGCCTGCCTTACCGATCCAACTCTTTGCAAACCCAAGGGAAAACAATCAAAATAATGTGCGGCTTTGTACAAACGATCGTCAATGCAAGCAGTGTCAAAATTTATCCCTCTTCCCATTCGACTCGGCCATGCCTGATAACCTTTTGGTACCAGCGCCCGTGCCACTTCTGCCACTCATTGGTGAACTGTCGATCTTCACGGGAATGACTTTGCTGAGGGCGATTGAGCCACTGACTTGCTGACGTGGATGATGAGGCTACCTCTACGCTTGTGGATGGTCGGGCAACCGGTTTGGCGGTGCCTTTCTTGGAGGGACCTTGGCCGTACGCTCCAGTCTGCTCAGCTTTGCGCTTGGCCTCGTTTTGCTCGCGGGCCCTGTCAGACTGCTTCTTCTTCTCTGCTGCATTCTGCTTGTACAGCTCTTCATTTTGTCCCTTAATCCACCTCAAATGGCGTTCAGCATCATGAACAGCAATGTTGTCAACACCAGTGCAAGACAACAAAAGATTGTGTCCAGGATTCCTGTTGAGGTAGTCAATGTACTCTTCTTCGGAGTAAATCTCGGTTCGGTACATGTAGAACCATGGCTGGTCGATGTACCTGAAAGACTTTGGGACATCATAGCGACTGGCCAAATCCAAGTAAACCAGCCTCATTGCATTGTGCTCCAGCTGGGATTGCTCAGAAATACCCATCTTGACCTGAGCTTTGGTGCGACCAGGCTTCGGCAAATGAGCGGACTTGAGGAGGTCGTACCTTTCACAATCGTACTCGTTCTCCCCCTCGTTCAACACGCTCTCTGCGAACGTGGCGTCCTGGGCAAACCTGTCAGCCACAGACACATAGCCCAAACTCAAGGCACGGTCGAAGCGACTCTTGGCCCTTGCCAATAGGCCGGCTTCCGGGCTTGAGCTTCCTCTTGCCTGATCGTCCAACAAACCCAAATTTTCAAGTTGGCCATGTGTGATCTGCTGTAGGTACTCCCCACGGAAATCGTAGTACAGTCCCAGCTTGTGAAGGGCGGCCTTTCTTCGTTCTGCAATCTTGGTTCGATCGGCCTTGTTGATCCCTTCAAGTATCAAACCACACACATCGCACTCAATCTGTCCCTTGAAAGTCTGTGCAAAACATCTTGAGCATTGCGTGACTTCGATCTTGACCGGCACCGGCTTCTTGTCCTCCTTCTTCACCCCTTTCTTCGAAGGTTGGTCATCGCCTTTAGGGCGAGACTTCTGCTTTGGCACCAGTGACTTTGATGTTGCTGCTGGCGTCTTTTTGGGCGACTCTGCAACTGGAGCTTTTGGATCTTTCTGCACTGCCTTTGGTGGTGCAACTTTTGGGACAGGCTCCAAGAAGGCTGCAGCTGAGGATGCTGCAGGCACAGCTGTTGGCACGCTTGTTAAGGCGGCCTTCTTCTTTGCAGGTTCGTCCTTTGCCGCTGCATCAACTTCTGAGGTCACAGCTTTTGGAACTTCTGGTGCATGAGGTGCAGAAGTCCCTTCCTTCGGTGGTGTCCTTGGAGATGTCTTTGGAGGTGTCTTTGGTCCTTCAACCTTTGGCGGTGTCTTCGGTCCTTCAACCTTTGCTGCAGGAGGTTTCGGAGCATCACCCTTCGGGGGAGGGGGCAACAGTCTGCTGCTTGCATATCCAGGCATACCGGCAAGTTGGGCCACATTTGGTGGCGGAGGCTTCACCTTCCCTGGGAAAAATGTCTTTGCAGCGGGCGCGCCAGTTGAGGCGGCCGGAGATGTTGAACCTGTCCTTTTTGGTGCCTTGGCCTCAAAGGTCTCGACAAGCTGTTGGACTCCAACTTCTCCCCCACTGCTTGCTGCAGACTGCGCAACCTCCTGTTGGCGACGATAAAGATTCACCTTCTTTGCCGTGTCGTCCACAGAGATGATGTATTGTGGCGGGACGACATCACTTGTGAGAATGCCGTCAGAAGCCGTCCTGAAAACACAATTCCAGCCTTGACAGCTTCTGCCATTGCAACCCTGATTTCAATGGGTCGCTCAGCACGCAAACCACTCACATACTCTTTCTCATCAACACGGACGTCGCTAAAATAGGAGTGAGCTCTTCCTGACGAATTTCGTTCTCCTCCTCCAGCCACGAAGCCATTCTCAATGATGCCCTTCCAATTGCCTTTTGTAGTCCTGTGATAAACTACGCCAGGGCACATCTGAGGAGTGGTAATCTTTTTACCTTTGGCGTTCATTTTCTGGATCGCTGCTGCTCCAGACAGAGCATAGATTTCCACTGCATTGAACGTGTCCTCAGCTGAAGCGGCATCCATGGCACGTTTCGTATGCCCCTGCACTGCACGGATCCTGATGGGCCAGTAGGCTAACCCTTTACGGGTTGCCTTCTGGTACCCGGCAATGCACTGGAACTCAAAACGGCACTTGTTGTCCCAGTAGAGCAATGAGATGAGCTCTTCAACTGTCATTCGGGGCAACTTGGCTGGCAGCATTTGGTTGAACATTCGAAAGAAGTCATCAAGGTCAAGCCACATGTTTTCATCAAATCCAGAGGTGTCCTGACCCGGCTGTCCACGCGTCACTGCATTGACCTTGGTCTTGTGTCGGTCCATGCGATCTGGGTATCTCAGCTCCTTTGCCCCATCCATCTCCCAACAGGTTTTGACGATCAATTCGTAGGGATGGGCATCAACGACGCAATGTTCAACTACTTCTGCATTAATATTTTCATCCAAAGTGATGCGATATTTGTCAAGGTGTCCAAGTGCGTGTTTCGGAATGATGGTACCCTTGATCTCGTTTTCTTGCAGGGGCTCACCAGCTGAGGTGGCCTGAGTTGAATCCTCCTGCGTCGTCTGAGGTTTCGCCTTGGGGTCAGGCGGAGCTGCGTGGCTCGCCTTGGCTTTGCCAACAGATGGGCCCTCGTGCTCATCGGGATCCAGAGCATCCCATGGGTCGCCTTCCTCATCATCATCTTCGGCGACACCAGCATCAGTCGGGCGATCCCTCAACTCCTCCGCTGTAAAGCTTTCCGGGGTCGAGACACTCGGTGCAGGCTTGTTCACCTTCTCCCTCAAAGAGTTCAGGACCTGCACAAACCTGACAGGAAGATGCTCCATCTTTGGCGGCACATCACGCATCGTGGCTTCACCTGCAGGGCGCCTGCGCTTGTACAAAGACAGGTTGTACTGAGGGATCAAAATGTCCGTCATGTGCAGCATGTGGAGAGTTGCCATGACATATCCGATCATCTCGCTTCGGTTGAGCTCGGTCTCGAATGCGTGAAAGTAGTCCCTGAGCTCAAGCCTCGGTGGAAGCATGTCATTCTTGATCCACCGAATCCGATCGTTGTCACTGGCAATCTCCTTGTGGAACCATTCCTTCAGACGTTCAATAAACGTCGTGAAGATGAGACTCAACCCATAAGTGAGCGGGTCGGGCTCGCCGATTAGGGCGGCCTGATCCACTCCCAATTCCTTGAGCTGATTGCTCCACCAAACAATGTTGCCTTTGACCCTGTCCATGATGGCATTCCAGTCACCCTGTGGCTCCCTCTGCCCCCAAATGGGAAGGGGTTCAACACCATATTCCCCACAAATTTCATTTCCAGACCAAAAGATCACCGAAATAACCCTGATGGCTGATCCATGAGAAGAATATTTTGCCATCAGCTCCTTGACCATGGAAATATTTGCTTTGCAGAGCTGTTGTAAATCCTTACCCCAGAGCATGTCATGACCGATTTCGAGAACCATGTCTGATTTTCGCAATCCCAGATCCTCCTTCAAGGTGTACTTCTTCAAAGTCTTACCCTTTCCGGTGATCAGAGCCAAAGTTGAATCGGAAGTCACCACATAGATAGTGGGCACGACGTCTACCGCCGGCCTTGATGTCCCAGGGACATACTCAGTAGGCAAGCTCAGATCCCACAGTGAGTCATGCTCCAACTCAGACAGATGGCGGATCTCCTTTGCCCACGGCACGTTCGTCAGGGCGTCCGTAGACATTGACTGCGCAGTGAAACACTGCATAAATCCTGCAGCCAACTCAAGGTCTTCTGTTCTGTTGCCCTGTGCCAGGATGGTTGACGAAGCGAGGATCGTAGAAAAGATGTCCTCCCACCCTGCGTGCCTATCCCCCTGAACATCAAGGCACTTCCGAAAAGCAAGCCACTCCGACATGTTGCTTTGTTGGGGCACGGTCTTT